CGGGTGAGCGCCAGGGGGGAGGACGGGAGTCGCGAGAGAGGGCGAAGCAACCAGGTAGCCCTGCGTTTCGCACGCAGTAGCCTCGTTCCTGGTGGCAGCCCGCGTAAAGGCGGCTGAGCCGCGTGTTTTTCCCCAGCTGCGATTTAAAAATGGAAAATAAATGCAGGGGATAACATCTGTTAGACGAACGCCCAAAGAGAAAGCCGGTGAGGCATTAATCCCGGTGACGGTCGGATCCCAGAAGCCCGAGGTAGGGCGAATGCTGCTGCCATTACCCAGGACCCATTGCCGGCCGCTGAGCTCGGCCAGGCAACGCGGCCCCCTCCAGCCATGGCTGCGGCTCGCCCTCCCCAGAAGGAGTGCAGCCTCATGGGCAAGTCATCTCTGATGAGCTGAAGGTACTGTGCAAGTGAAGAGGAACAGGTCATCTCCTTCAGCTGTGGATATTTAAGCAGCACTGCCATGTGGGACACTTGGAAGATTTTGTATAGAAATTGCGGTTAACCAGTGGAAAGAAGAGGCAGTAACACAGATTTGCAGCCCTGCCAATGAATTGATGCAACTCAGCCTTCAAGACCTTCTCTGAAGGCACAACTGGCCAAGAGCAAATCCTTTTAAGATTTAGGGAGTCAGGAGAGGAGGAAGAAGAAATAGTAAGGGGGAAGCGCTTATGCTGTGAGGAGTCTCCTGCAGCGGAATGCATTTCTGCAGCTGATTCCTCCGCTGCAAGGCAGAGCAGAAGGGCCAACAGAGAAGCAGACAACTTTTCTCCTCCTCTATTTAATTTCTGCACCCTCCGGCTTGGCAGTGTTCCTCTACCTCTGGCTGCTCCCTATTTCATTCCGCTATGGATTTTCATTTCCTGTTGAGTTACTGTATTAAAGTACACTGGGGATAAAACAAGCTGTTCTCTCACACTGTTCTTCAGCTTCTCGTATTATTCTTCAGTTCTGTCATCAACAACAGGCAGTACAAAAATCGGAAGCCTCAAAGCACTTAAAGGCGTCGCAGCCATCAAATCTATTTATGGAACTGTAACGCTCCGTCGTGGGTTCCAAAATACGTCCAGTTGTGTTGAATCAGAGAGCGAGTAACAGAAAGCCTAACCTCACTGAAAGATAAACATTCTTAATCCTTCAGTGAAACCTGACGCGAGCATAAGCCCACTCTATCCCTTCCGTTTCTTTTAATTTTCTCTCTACCCCAATCTAGTTCACAGCAAAATGCCTGATGGCGATGTTAAATTCTTACAGTTCTGCGTAAAAGATCATTTTCTGCACTTCTGATATTTAGCTGGACTCATGAAATGAATTTGGTTTTGGTCCCAAGTCAGAAAACACACGACCACAACACGTAGCTTCTGAAGTTGATCACAAAGGACAACTGATAAGCTTTCCTGCTACTCTGCTGACAACAGAGAAGTGTGGGCATCCCGTACTGCGCGTATTTTCCATTACGCAGAAAATAACTACTTAAGAAACAATGGACAATTTCTTACTGAAAAGGAGCTATCCATGCTCCTTAAGCCCTTTTAACCAAAATATGAATCTTTCTGTCCTGAGTTTCTTTGGTTTTGTTGCACTTGGGAGCAACCTGGAGGTCTGGCATGACCTTCGATATGCGGTGGTAAATGAAGGCATCCTCCCCGAACAGTAATCTGAGACAGGAGCTCTGCACCAGGACAGCTTATTACATAATGAAAGGGAGGACGGAGAGGAGGAATAGCCCCGAATCCCAGCTTCTTCAAGCTTCCCAACGGAACAGTCAACCAGCACAACGTTCCTCGTACAAGAACATTAAACTTCAGTTTAGACGTGGAAGTTATTTTAATGAGGTTTTATTTAAGTAAACTCATTGCCTGTAGCCTTCTGTTTTGGCAATAGTCAGATGGAGAGCCCTTCCTTGTACAAATGCCAAATGCCTCCCAGCCCGGCAGTAGAATAAAACATTACTTACAAAGCCTACGCGGCTCCATCGTTTCCCGAGCACCCGGAGAATGCTTTTACACCAACCGGAATAAACTCATCCCGGCAGAGAAGCCGGGCACTTTGAAACAGATGGATAGCTAAGGACGAAGAGGAACGCCTGCTTCTGGAGGAAGCTTTCTGGGGCTTACCCTGCCACTGCTGAGGGCACGGGCATACAGGCGGTCAACCATCTAGGAAGGGATGAGATAGCCCCAAAGTGTTTTACTGTCGACTGTCAATTAAAGAGCAAAATTCAGAGTCCAGTAAAAGTTCAGGTACAACGTACTTCAGCAGGGGGTGGCAATCATTTGTTAAGATTATTCCCTTTCTCCCAGAATGTGAAGTTTATCAATAATACGAAACCACCTTTAAAGCAACACTTAAACAAGCAAGTGGAATTCTTCTGAAGCTTTAAGGGACCCAACTCCTTTGAAGCCCCACCTGGGAGTTACACCCGCACTTCTTTCCTCTGGGCCACGCAGGCTGCAGAAGAGCAAAGTTCGCTTCTCAGAACAATCTTAGAAGATGACTGCTAGTGCATTTCTTTCCCATATTAGTTAGAACCTCTCTAGATTAATCTATTCTTCCAAACATGTTCAGACTCTCAGCCCAGCTTACTGTATTAGTACAGGGAGGAGGGGAAGCCACAGAAGGGGAGCTGTGCTTTTAAAACTAGCAACTGGATTCTCTTCAACCAATTTAACTTCTGACCTTCTCAGCTGTTGGATCAAGTTGTTGCAGCAGGCATCGAGCCAGACAAGTAAAACATAAGGGCAGGCACGTTGCTCTGCATTCACTCTCTGGCTGTTGAGCTACTTGCAAAAGCAAGGTAGAACATGTCAGATTAAAGTAACTTTTATTTAAAGATTAAAATCTGCTGCCAATCAGAATAATTAATATTTAAAAGTTAAATGGATTTTTTTTTTCCACTCCCGTGTCAGAGATAACTAACTGGGGCAGCAGGGGAAAAAAAAAAAAAAAAAAAAAAAAAGGAAAAAAAAAAAAAATAGTAGCATCAACCAGTAGAGAACAAGGCGCCGGGTAAGGAAGATCGTGCTGGACTCCCACACTTTCCTAACTGCTTTCTAGGTTTCTTCTGAGCCTAGGTCCAAGCAGTTGCTGTGAATGACTGCATGGTGAGCTGTTAATCTCATTTTTACATGTATTCTAGAAATCTGGATATAACTTAAATGAGAGCTAAATAGATAAAATGTTAACATGTTTTGAAGAAGTTTAATCTTACAGATACTAACTGAAAGAATGGTGTATTTACTGGACCAGAGGACTTTGAGTGAGAACTGTGCTTTATTCCTTTCTGTCACAGACACGGCCAAGCCGAGTGCCCAGCGACAAGCCAGTTATCCTTTTTGTGCCCGTATCTTTTAATGCAAAATTGAAATTTCCCAGCCTCTACAGCAAAAAGCGTTGTACAGAGGGGGAGTAGAGTTATGTTACAGAATGATCATTTGGTTCTTCAGGAAGCCAGGCAGTCACCCAGCATTAATGCTTTCAGTACGTTCTCTGAACTGAAATCACAGCCCCAGTGAAGTGGGAGCGAAAGTTTCCACCTTCTGCAGCGGGTCCCACATCTCACCCCATGTGTCTCTGCATCTTTGAGCCTCAGGCAGGACTCATACCAATGAGGACATAAAACGAAACAGCAAGTTTCTGAAAGGCACAGAAACAGAGAACTTTCTCTTTTGCCTGAAAACACACTTCTGTCCCTCCTGACTTAAGTGCCATTGTCTATAAATGTAAGACCAAGTATATTACTCGTATAGATTTTATTACAAAGTTTTAGGAAAAAAAAAAGAACAGAACATAAAAAAGTATACAGGAATTTAACAGTTCTTTAGAAAAAAATATTTAACAAAAAAAATAGTGAGAATCATGCTTGTCCCTGAACGTAGAGTTCATAGTTTGCCTTTAACACGAATTCGAAGTAAGCATTACATTTCAAGTTGCCAAGTTCGTTCGCTTGCAGCAAGTCCTTCACCTCCGGTAAATATTCACTTAACTGAACTCCTACAACACAAAACCTTTTATTACAGCACTGATAAAAGTACTTTGCATTAGCAGTTAAGATGATTCTTAAGTAAATACCTGTGCCTGCCTCAGAGCTGAATTACTCTTTCAGAATTGAGATCTGATTCCATTATACATGTTAAAAAATACAATAAAGCTTAAGTAGCCTGTGAAACTGAGGTTACAATAAAGATTTCCTACCCAGACAGAGCTTCTCAGTGAATTTATGATTAAACCTAAAATCCAAGTCTACTTAACACTTCACCAAAATAATAATAATAATTAAAAAAAAAGAAGTATCAGTCATATAATAAATACTTAGCAGCTGCAACATTGCAATCTGGGGCGTGAGAATCTTGCAAAAGGGAAGAAATTGGCAGGATTGAATACGCAAAACCAGAACTGTTCTGAAGAACTTAATTTTTATGTTTTTGACATGGAGCCTTCTCTGTTCTGGAAAACGTTCATAAGCAGTAATATTTAAAACGGACCTTGACTCTAAAAGCCAGAACTTCCCATGGTCAGCTTTAACTGGGACTTTTTTGGGGTGGTTGAGTTTTGTTGGGTTTTTTTTGTTCTTGGTGGTGGTGGTTTTTTTGCTTTTGGGGAGGAAAAGCAAAACCAAAAAAACCCATTTAAGCTAAAATAGATTAAGCTCTTCTGAGTGACACACAAGTAAGTTATAAATCCTGTACCTTACAGGAGATCATGTATTTAACTCCAGCAGACATACTTTAGTGTACAGTAAGAAACTGCTAAAAATCCGACACCTGCCCTACTGAGCAAATAATGTGAGGGTACTAAAATTAAAACCGGGAAATCTGCTCATCTCTTATCCCTCAACATTTTACAGAGACAGAATTAGCTCCATTATGACTGTAATTATCTAGTGGAATCCATATGGAAGCTTTTACCACTCTGAGAATTTATTAACACTACTTCTTATATATTAGTGTTCATCTTCTGAACTAAACAATTTCAAGAAGTTAAATTATATTTAAGTGCACTTTACCTTCTTTCAATAGTTTTTGTAATATTTTCACAAATATACTATCTTTAGATGCTTCAATTGGATCATCTTTACCATCTGAACTGGACCACCTGCAAGTCAAAAAATAATTTGTGTAAAGAATTGCACAGATGAAATAAAAGGAAAACTAACAAGAAAAAATATGCAGGAAATTTGAAAAATTATCAAAGGTGATAAATACATGTTCACACGGAAGTGTTATGTGCTTGGCTATAGCTCAAAGCAAGAGGTTTTTTTCTTCCTATCTTGTGTTAATTATTCTTTATTCCAAGAGTAAAGCTGCAATAAAATTACACTACTATAATGTAGTCTAGTTAGGAGGACAATAGAAATGCTTCCCGCCTTCTAAACTGTAAACCAAAACATTATTTCTTTGATAAAATAAAAAATATTATCCATCGAGATAAGAATTACCTATTCTCATGAGGGCTACCCTTATGTATTTTTGTAGTTCTTCTAAGAATTACCCTGTAATTATATTCTATGACTGAGATGATGCAAGTATAGATTTATTTTTTTGTAGAATAGAGCCAGAGCAGCGATTTACTAACATATTTGAAAAAACAAAAACAACAAAAAAACACCCCCAAAACCAAAAACCTCCCAACCCCACACCAAATCAAACACCAAGACACAGAAGGAGATGGAAAAAAACCCCTGTAAAATCTAAGTTGCAGGCCTGTAACAGCACACACAGACAGAAAACAAATACAGTTTGTCTCATTTGTGATTAAATGGGAAGACTCCTGAATGCAAGTCTCATCTGTGATAAGACAATCGCAGTCATATTTTTCTAAGGGAAAGATTATTTTATATTTTTATATTTTTGCAGAGCTTTATGTGTAGCAGATTTAAGTCAACACCAACCTAACTTCTTTTACTGTGGTTCTAACCTTTTAGTTGTTAAAATCTCCTGTTCCATTTGTTAAACTGCCAGAGAAAACCACTTCTCATATCACTCCCTAAACCAACACGAACCTCCTTGGGCCAACTGGACACGCTTGACACAGATCTGGACCCGGGTCCTCTGTACTTCACTGAAACCATCATTTTACCCTAGATGACACTTAAACTCCCAAACTTCTAGGATTATGGTCTTTAATTCTACTGGAAAGAATGTGAGGGAAGGAGGGAGGGAGGGAACAGAGGAGGACACCAAGGACCTTACCAGAACACAAGGCTCTCCATTCTACCCAAGAACCTTGCCACCATTTGTAGCTGTTAAGCTAGAAAACAGATGCCATCCTTAAAACATGCGCACAGATGAAAGTTAACGCTACCTCTTTTGAAATAGCCATCAAACTCTTTGTAAGCCTTTGTGAGCTTTGCTGGACTGGAAACTCAGCTGGGACACCAAGTTTCTAAACCCTGTTCAGCACAAAGTGATCTCAAACTGCATCTGGTTAGCTAGCCGAGCGGGCAAAATCTTGTCAGCATTATATACGATTTGAATGATTTAAATATTACATCCAAAACTCTGTTCTTGGCCCAGGGTAGAAAGTACATGAACCAATTACTGGACTGGTGCCACGTAGGAGTTCTGGATTCTTCTGTCTTGAAGAAAAACACTTTGAATATCGTGAACCAGTTTCTGCATATTATTTGTGTCATATGTGACAATAACTTAGTCATGCAACTAGGAATTTACTTTTGACAGACCACTGTCCTTTGGAATCCAAATGCTGCTTATGTCCACTTTAATCACAAATGGCACAGTGCATTTGGAATGTATCCTCTCCTCATCTTTTCTCCCTTAGGTCCTCTTGGAACATGGACGGGAGCTAGAAAAGGCACGTAACTTCCAAAAAATAGAAAGGAAAGGGAGGAAATGCCATTTGAGTTATTTAACCTGAGGGAGAACAGTAGTACTGCTTGACGAGAAGATTCTTCTGACCTATTGGTTTCAGCCTGTATTTGGTGTTGAACGTCCATACAAGTGGCTCTCTCAAGCAGTGTGTAAGGCTTCGATCTTGTACAGTCAGCTTTAACTCAAAAAGGTCATGAACTTGATGTGGTTCAATGGCCAAAAATAAGTGAAATAAAAGTCTGCAGGAGTGACCTCTGCACAGGTTGCTCTTAAAAAGCTTCTATTTGAGATGCTTCAAAGGGGGGGGGGGGGGGGGGGGTCTACGGATGGCGGTCATTTCTTTTACCGTAGCAAAGGGCTCAAGAATGAAAGCTGCATGGGTACGTTCCCGTCTCGGGTGCTGAGGATGCACAGTAGGTTGTGCCAGTGAACAAAGCAAACAGAGTACTACAGGTTTTTTTTTGCTGGGGTTTCACTTTACAAATAAAAAGACACATTCAGGTTGGATACTTTACACTTTACTAACCTTATACTATGAAATTCAATCTTATCAGTGAGCTAGAGAATAGTGTACTAATATGTCATTCTGGAAGAACTACGTCACAAATACTCCCAGTAATTTATATTCATATTGGACTTACCCATCTCTTTGGAGAGCCTTACAGAGAATTTTAAGTTTAAGATCGTTTACATCCACTTCCTCTTCCTTCAATTCATGTAAGGAGAAAAGACAGATAAGTTAAAATTTTATTTTTTTTTTTTTTTAAGAAATAATCACTCTGTCACACAGATTATACCAATGAATTAGATCCTTCAATTACCGAACACTATTTTTAAACACACGCTATTTTAACAGATGACCTGATCAGACCGGTGAAACACCAAAGACTCTTCATTTCTATTTGAAAACATGGCTCAGACCTTGTACATCACAACACGGCTGCTGGAGACCACCTACCTCAACCTGACCAAGGGCCTATTTTAAAGCACGTGAACAAATACCAATTTGTAAACCAGAGTATTCTAGGCAAGTTTTATTTTAAAATCTGCTAAATAGTGACTGAAGTCAAGGCTCTCCTTTTTTAGCATGGCCAAGCTAACCAGCACGCATTAGCGTCCACATCAGGGTGTATATTATTATTTATGAGTAAATGTCTTCAGGGAGACATGTTTGTCTTAGGGCAGTCCCTTCCTTGCGCAAAAACTTCGAGATAATTGGTATCAGAGCCCCATTTAAAATGTAACATCGGAAAAAAAAGACCATGTGTTTTTTTCACCTCCCAATGTCCCAAAGCATCAGATCTACTTTAAATTCCCCTCATAAGAGATAAGACAAACCATGAACTCTTCAATTTAGAAGCCTGGAAGCAAGAGGATGGGTCTTGACTTCATGCTATGCTTTTGTAGGAGGAAAGCAAAGAAAACTAGGGAACAGCTAGTTTTCAGATTCTAGTCTAAACCATCATCTCTAACTTGTACTGAATGGTTCTACTCAAGTTGTTGGAGAGTCAAATATCTGAGCAAAAAATCGTTTTGCATTTCCTGTTTTTAGAGTGACATTTATTTTATTTAGATGTAAAAAAACCAATATAGTTGTCTCAGTGTTCATTAACTGTGTTGACAAAATTTAAGAGGAAAACTAACTTAAAAGAAAGAACGAAATGAGTTCACTCAAATTTATTTTACTGCAAAATATTATTATTTGGACTATTTATGTTGTAAAAAATGAAGGGGGAAGTTAGAGGGGAAAAAAGTGTTTGATTTTCCTTTTACACTGAAGAGAACTAACTCAGAGTAACATGCTACTCTAAGTAGTAATACTCTTTCCTCAGTATACAAAATATAATGTAGTACTAAACACAGGACAAGTAAACATTAATACATAAAGCACCCCCCCAGTTAATAACAGTAAAGAAATGTTATTCAAAAGAAAATCTGATAAAAGAAATTCAATTACAACAAATTGAAAATAAATTTAAATTTTAAAAACAATATAAATACATTTATAGTTATCAAACCGAAGTTATTGAAGGCCAACAAAATGGCACAGTGGTGTTTACAAAGCACTGCTACAGAGAGGATTTTAACTTGGAGCCCTACCCAGACTAGCAGGAATTGGGATAATCACAAGAGAGCTCCCATTTCCAATTAGTAAGGAATACTTTCACCAAAATAATACAACTTGAGCTTTTAGCAAAGACTGTTTTTAATTCAGGTTTGATGCTCCTCAGAAACTGATTTATTCATGCTTAGTGGAAAATGACAAGGTACTAGATCATACAAGGAGATGCAGTGAGAAAGCAGCTAGCAGATCTGTGATTCAATGCTATTTACATGTGAAAAAGCTGGTGACTATCCCACATTATCTCCCAAGGATCAGAGAAGCTGCCAACAGGGAAGATGCAAGAACTAAACTACTGAAAACAGACGATCTTCGTCCTGTTTGGCAAAAGCCTGTAGGGAAGCAAGGCTCTAAGAAAGAAACTATAGACTATAAATGGGAAGTGAATATGAGGTCTGTCATTTTTCTTAAATGATCTAAACCACATTTGGCATTAAGTCTCCAGTGACTTAAAAACAAACTGAAAAAAACACATCAGGGTTATTTTTAATTACCGTACACCAAGCTTACATGTTAACTAACTACATATAGATGCACTATCCTCACTTAAATAATAATAAAGAAAAACAAAAAGTCTCTGGATTAGAAATCCTTCAAAAACTTTTCCTACCTCATCGATATATTCCAGTAGATCAAGTGCTTTCTTGAAGTCATACTCATTGGCCCTTCTGTTCTCATCACATATGTATATCTATGATATGAGAGATTAACGTAGAGAATTATTTTTAGCCTACAAACTAATGTAACTGATACCGCGGACAACTCATTGTGGGAAGACCACCATGTATTTTCCACTTATGTGACCTTCTCATGAAAATATGTCTTGATTCAACTGCAAGTATTTTTATAGCAAGGAATATACTTAAGGTTTTAGGGCAGCATTCCACCTACATGACAATGGTCTGTGGACAAATGATATTGAATATAAGGCTGCTAGGTTTCAAATTTAAATGCCATTTAAGGCTGTAACATTCCTGGACTATTGTAGCCAGAGCTCAGCTCCACAAATAAGCTCTCAGAATTATTTTGGTAATTAAGCTCAAAGCAATACTTAAGCACACTTACTGCCTTTCACCTTTTAAAACCAGACAAGTTTGCTATCAAGATTTCATCCATCCCCCCTCCCCGCCCC